GACAAACATGGGGAGATGAGCGCAGAGAGGTGAAGCTCGGGGCCTGAGCCTCCTACACCCCACAGCCCAGTGTCTGCTCTGAGATACAGCGCCTCTGCTTCCAGCCCGGCTTCCTGCTGACACACATGGGGGAGGCAAGCAGTTGAATCTGTCCCTTCCCCAAGGAAAACCCCCAGCAGAGCTCCTGGCTCTGGCTTCAGCCTGGCTGGACCCCAGCTGTTGTGTGTGCCTCCTGGAAATGTCTCAGCAGGTGTTAAGATTTTTTTCCTTTCAAGTCAATAAAAAAGAAACATTTTAAAACAGCACGAGCTGGTGGATGGCTGGCATCAGGGGATGCTGCTCCCCCACTGGCAGGAGGGCTCCCGGCAGCAGGGCAGGTTCTGCCAGCGTGCCCTGGGTGGTGGTGGGGGGGTGGGGAACAGGAGGCCTGGTCACCCCTCCTTCCCAACCCCTCCCTGCCCTCCAGGAACTCTGGGCCAGGACGGGAGACTAGAGGAGAGGGAGGCAGAGGTTAATGGAAGCAACTAAGAGCCTCTGTCACGTGGCCTTAAACAATGGAGCAGCCACCACTTCCCCGGCTGCTGCAAGCACCATTAAAACCATTAGCGGGACATTAGTGCTGCTGAGAGGGGCGACAGCAGGAAGGTGCTGACAGCACTCCCCTCTGCACCCAGCACTGGGAGGGAGGGCAGGCCTGAGCTCCCCGGGTCTACACATCAGCAGCGCAGGTGGTCAAGGAACCCAGACGGCTGGCACTCCGCTTCCACGCTTCCACGCCTGCTCCAGTAGGCGGTGGGGGTGGGGGTGAGGAGAGGGGCGTGGCTTCAACACTGCGCTGGCAGTGACAGCCGCACCCCTGCATTCCCCAGTTCCTCTTCCCACACTGGCTCCTCATGCTGCCCGACAAAGCCCTGTCCCCACCCCTCCGCAGGCCCCTCTGCCACCCCTGGGGGTGACAGTCATGTGGGGCTGGCTTAAGCTCTGCCATAGGCACCGGTCCTTAGGTGGGGAGTGGCAGGGTCTGGTGGGTGGCAGGTGCACCGGGTTTGGGGCTGGAATAGATCGGGATTTTCAGTTCCTATGAGGGGTTGTGTGGCATGGAGCGCAGTGCTGGACGCCCCGCATCCTGCTCCTGGTGCCCTCCTTTCCTGCTCTGAACTCCTCCTACAGACCCGAGAGCTAGGTGAGTCGGGTCCTGGGCCTGCTCACCGCTCTCTCCTTGGCACCTGGGACAGTGTCTGACTCCATGCGTCAGATTCATGGATGGACAGACGGACGGATGGGTGTGTGGACAAGTGAGTGAAAGAAAAGCAAAATATAAACCAGCTTGTTATTGGATAGGAGAAGCAGCACGACCCAGCGGCCTGAGTGTGACTAGGAATAAGTTAGGTTGCAGAAGGGCACCAGTTTGGTGATCGCCGGTCAGCCAATGTTCTGACAGGGTGGATGCCAAAATACTCAGTGATCATGGTGATTTCTTTTTCCACATAATAATGTGTTTATTATGTGAAAGGCAGAGAGACAGGAAGAGACATAGAGAGAGGGGGGTACGTTCCATCTTCTGGTCCACTCCCCATTCGTCCACAACAGGCAGAGCTGAGCCAGGCCAAAGCCGGGGGCTCCATCCACGTCTCCCATGTGGGTGGCAGGGCCTGGGTGTGTTAGCAGGGAGCTGGGTGGGAAGTGCAGAGCAGCTGGGAGCTCGTTGACTTGACCTGCTGACTGACCTGCTGTGCCACAAGGTCAGCCTGCGGGTGAGTCACCCCTACATGTTTTGGTTTGTGGGCTACTAAAGGCATTTCTCATGAGCCCATATAATGAAGGCAGCGGTAATAAAGACAAGGAGATGGGACAGAAAGCAAAGCCAATGTGTGCGCCTTTAGGTGGTCCGGGGTCCTGGGCCTCGTGAACTCCTTTCCAAAGGAACACCTCTGCTAGCGGCTCAGCCCGTGCCAGTTCCTGATGCCTGCCATCCTAGGATGGGGGTCGGAGCAGGTGTGGCCTGACCCCCACAGTGCCTTGCACCAAGCCTTGGTGTGAATGCTGTCACTGGGTGTCCACAGTTCCCTAAACACTCCTGTGGAGCAGGACCCATGACCCAGAGAATGGATATGATACAACTCGACCACACGTCAGGTGGTTCTGCAGGGCCCTCAGGCGCGCTGGCTGCTCACGGCGAAGGGACCCAGGTGACCGTCCTGCCTGACCCTTCATCTTGTGGACATAGAACGCCCAAAAAAAAAAAAAACTGGTTTTGCTCTCACCGAGTTCTTAGGTGAAGAGTCTTGCTCATTGTTAATAAAATATCATTTATGCTGGCTTCCAGTTACATTAGAACTGGTTTATTTTCCATGTGGCCTGCATTACTGATTTACACAAAGCCTACAGATGTTCTCACCTTGACAGACATCCTGTGGTCAGAGTAATAGGATGAAACCTCTACTTTTTTTTTTTTTGAGAACGAGTCTCAGACTCTTACGCTATTGTTGAAGAGTTATTGATTTGAAAGGCAGAATCAGAGAGACATCTTTTATCTGTTGATTTACTTCCCAAGTGGCCACAACAGCTGAAGCTGGTCCAGGCCAAGGCCAGAAGCCCAGCACTGCCTCTGGGTCTGCTATGTGAGTGCCAGAGGCCCAAGCCCTTGTGCCACCTTGCGCTGTCTTCCCAGATGCATTAGCAGGGAGCTGGATTGGAAGCAGAGCAGCCAGGAATCGAACTGGCACTCATATACAGGATACTGGCGTCACCGGTGGAGTGGCGCAACCCCTTGCACCACCATACTGGCTCTGCATGGTTTCCTTCTGGGACTGGTCTGAGGAGTTGGCATTGCCAACCCTGGAATCTGGAACTCACTGCCCCACCCTGAGGGATGCCTTTTCTGGGCAAGGATGCTGCCAACTCAGGGAGGTGTCACTTTAGTTCCCGCTCCAGCTACAGAATTGAAACCTTCTGGTCTCTGCTCTTTGGTACTGCTGTGGAGACATGGCCTGGCATGCAGGGTGGTGTTTTGTCCCACCGTAGGTCACTGTGTGGGGTTTGTCGTACGCATGAAGACAGCAGAAGGTAGTGGGGAGGACTCCCCATCAGCACAAGCTGACACCCCTCACCCACATCCTAGAGAAGCCAGCTGCCCCCAAGTGTCCCCAGACAGGAAACTGATGAAAATGAGCACGGGCCACCCCAACCTCAGTCACAGCTCCCTCTCATGAGGTCCCTGCCCTTAGAAGCAGCGTGAGCCCAACAGGGCCCTGAGTGCAGCCTGCGCAGCCACAGCCAGGTGTGCCAGCGCTCTCCCTAGACACCCGTCTGCCATCCTGGCCAATCCGCCTGGCCTCTTGACTCCCGTAGGCCCTGCCTTCCTGCAGCCACAGGGCTACTGCCGGCGCTGCCATAGCCTGGCATTCTCCCTGCCCGCCGATGTCCAACTCAGCAGAAACAGCCCATTTTTTGCGGCAACCTGCCTCGGGCCCCGCACCCCTAGCACCACACGTCCTTCCATACAACACTAGTCATGGCTGTGCCATGGTGCCCCATGGTTCGCAGGAGCGTACCCCACTCCGTGGGCGTCAGTTCCACTCTAGACCTAACACCGAGGCCCGCCGCTGCTGCTTCTGCTCCTCCTGGGCCCCAGCCCCACAACAAGCTTGCCCAGTGAAATCTCCCCACAACCTCTAACAACACTCGGGCCACTTCCTTCTGCTGCTGCGAGCCAAGGTCGGGAGATGCTGCGACCAAAATACCGGCAATGGGGCTCCATGTGTGAGGGGTCACAACTGGTGCAATGCTGGCCACCTCAGGTCCTGGTGGTGACAGCATCCCTGAGGACAGATGCCACCCTCCCCAGCCACGGATGGAAATTGTGCAAAGGGATGCACAGGATCCAAGTGCCTGCGACAGCACGGAGGGCAACAGGAGGCACAGACCACATTGATGAGACCTCCACAACCCCCTGCCCCAAGCACCGCACCGCACCGCACCGCACCGCACCGCACGGCCCCTACAACCGAGCTCTCTGCAGCCACACGCCCCGCACCCCGGCGATAACTTAGGTTCTGACAAAACAAGAGGTTTTGTAGAGATGTGGCCATGGGTGATCAGGGTCATGCGTGGGAGGCCCAGAAGCTCCACTGCCCAGAGCAAGGCTGCCCACGCACACCCGCACACCCGGGAGGCTGGGCATGACAGACAGGGAGCACTGGTCTCCTCTTCAGGAGCAAGCTGCCCCCACCCCGCCCCCTTTAAGTTCTCGCGTTGGCCTCCCTGCTCCCTGCTTTGCACACTGCGCGTGCTCGGGTTGCCAAGGAGACAACAAGTGCGGGATGGCAGGGTGGGACGCTTGCAGGGCTGGCCGTCAGACCCACCCATTCTCCCCAGTCAGCACCTGGGGGACTGAGATGTCACAGAAGGTGGAGACACTCAAAGGTCAAGGCGAGAAGTCCTTCCCCTTGCCCCGGGGGGGGGGGGGCAGTGAAAGGCGGTGCCCCCCCCCTTGCCCAGCACTGGGGCGGGCTTGGTGGGGCTGGGAGCAGGGTTAGGAGGTGCGCCATGTGGGGGCTTTTCTTTTCAGAGCCTGTTTCCATGGTGCCTGACAGTCCTTGGCAAAGCGCAGCCAGAGGGCCCTCGGGTCTTATCCAGCCTGGGCCCCCTCCCAGGATTGTCCTCCTGGCCTGTGGGGGTCCCAGCAAGTGACGAAGGCCACAGATAGGCAGCTAGGGCCTCCCTCTCTTATCTTCCCTAGAGGGAAGGGACTCCAGTGAGGCGACACCAGGAGCCAGCCTGCAGTCCCCTCCACGCTGCAAGGCCGGGGCACTAGGCAAGAGGCCCTGAGGACCCCACAGCCGCACCCCTCCCTGCCCGGTCAGCCCAGAGCGCAGGTCCACGTCCGATAAGGGGCTCTTCGATTTCCAGTGTGTTTGCATAGGCAGGGGGTGGGAGATTGGGGCACAATTGAGCCGGGGTGTCGTATCAAGGTGAAGTGCAAGCACTAGGCACCTTACCTGCTCCTGGGAGTTCATGACCCGTAGCTTCATCTGCTTCAGGTACGTGGAGGTCAAGGGCATGTTGTAATCGATGATGCCAGACACCAGAGGAGACGGGGGCTCACTTTCTGGCAGGAGGAACAAAAACGAGATTCAGCCTGCTTGTCACCCACCTGGAGAACTCCACACACGGTGCCTGCTAGGGACTGAGGGGAAGTCACCATGGAGGGAGTGGCCGGGCCAGAAGCCACAGACTGACCCAGGGCCAGCCTGGCCCTAGAAATGCTTTCCAGGTAGGTGCTGGCCTAGAAGAGGTTGCGTGTGCTACATACAACATGGGGGTGGGTCCTTGGCTTAAGGTGCCACTGGGAATGCCCACAGCCAGCAAGCCAGCGTCAAGATGTCAGGCTCTGGGCTGGGCTCCCCGGCTCATTCCTGCTGATGCACAAAAGCATATCCTGGGTTATAGCAGGTGGCAGCTCATGCCGTTGGGTCCCTGCCACCCACAAAGGAGACCTGGATGGAGCTGGCTCCTGGCTTCAGCCTGGCCCAGCCCCAGCTGTTACAGGCATTTGGGGAATAAACCAACAAATAAAGAGCTGTCTTGTGCTCGCTTTGGCAGCACATATACAAATAAAGAGCTCTCTTAAAAAAAAAAAAAAGTTTAAACCGTCTAAATTTTGTACTTCCTTTTGACAGTGGGCAGGTCTGGCCCCACTGGCGGCAGTAAGTGGCTTCTACCATCTGCTCACACAGCTGTGAGCTCAGACTCTGCCCCTCCCAGTGCCTGCAATGGCTGGGCCCAAGGCCTGGGGCCCTGGTCTCCCGTGGGTGGAGGGAACCCAATCACTCCAGCCATCGCTGCTGCCTCCTAGGGACTGCAGAGTTTGGCATTGAACCTGAGATTTCTGATATGGGACACGGTCGCCTTGATTATTTAACTGAGGTCCACCCTCCATCCCAACATTGTACAACTTGGCTTCAGTTGCAGTGCCTGCCAGACCCCTGAGGGCACCTCAGCTTCTAAACTCGGTACGTACCCAGCTCTCTTCCCAGGACCTTGGGCCACCCGCCTGCCCAACTCTTGCCCTCTCAGAGGCCATTTGGTCCATAGCTAGGCCACCAGCACCCTCTCCCTCAATTCTGGCTTTTCCTTAATCACATTCAGAGGAACACTGCTGCCACACCCTCTCCCCCCATTTATGGCTTTGTTGTCCTGGAGATCAAAGATTGAATGTGCTTTTCGTGGTGCATTTGCGAAGTGCAGAAAGATGTAAAGACACATTTTAAAAGCCACAATCGCACCAAGAAGCTTGGCATATGCTTCTGTTTATTTTTTTCCCTATGGTCTTCTTCCTTACATAATTGATATCATCATGCCTACGGAAAGTCACAATGAGCTTTAACATGGAGGGGGAAGATGGTGGCATAACATTTTGTCACAGACATTTTCTCCTCCACCCAAAATCTCATTTGGTGGGGCTCTGGCATTGTGGTGCAGTGGATTAAGCCACCACTCGGGGGGCCCCCCTAAACCCATGTAGGAGGGCTGGCTGTTCCACTTGAGATCCAGCTTCCTGCAAATGCACGTGGCAGGCAGAGATGGTAGTCCCAGTTCTCGGGTCTCTGCTCCTCACGTGGGAGATCCAGGAGTTGCTGGTTCCCAGCTTCACCATGGCCCAGCCTTGCTTGCTGTGAGCATCTGGTGGCAACAGAATGACGGAAGATCTCTCTTGTCCGTGTCACTCTGATCTTTAAAAACAATACATTTTTTAAAATCTGCAGTTTCTATAACCATGTTAGCATTTGCCCGTGATCAACTTGGGTCATTCTCTGAGGACTGGCTATTTATGCTGCTTCCTACTGGGGCCATTGTAAACAACACCACAGGGAACACGTTTGCGCGTAAGTACTGGTCTACATTTCTGATCTTCTCCTATTTAGAACAGATTCTAAGAAATGGAACTCAGAGATTGGGAGCCCTGGCCTTCTCAAGGACTTCAGCTCCCTGCCAATGCGCCTGGTGAAGCAATGGAGGACAGCTCAAGTGCTTGGGCCCCCGCATTCACATGGGAGACCTGGAGGAAGCGCCTGCCTTCAGCCTGGCCATCGCAGCCATCTATGGAGTGAACAAGCAGATGCAAGAGCTCACGCACACGCTAGCTCTCCCTCTCTCTCCTTGTCTGTTTCTGTAGCTCTTCTACATAAACAAACAAAATCTTCAAAAACAACAACAAAAAAGAACCTTCTGTAAGCCAAGGAGCCAGCATTACCCAGAGTGGACAAGGGAGTCCTTGTTGGCCAAGCCCCAGGAGCCGTCCCAAGCATAGGGTTGTGCCCCGTTCTCCCTGCCACCCCTCCCCCCCCGCTGGCTGAGACTGGATGTCCTCAGCCCCAGGACCATCCTGGCTGGATGCAACACCAGACAGGCGTTCCTGTGAGCACGTGGAGGAGCTGCAGTTCCTGTTTCCAGACCACGGGTGTCTAGATGGACTCTGCCATTTCCGTTCTGCTTCCTTCAGGAGAGGACGTAACTCAGGGTGGCCCTCCCACCCCCATGAGGGACCCCGAGCTCGGGGGCCCACAAGGCAGGGGCCGTGCCCTGATCCTGAGAGCCAGTTATGGTTGGCTTTGCGAAGAAGACCCCTGTGGGGCTGGAAAATGGTTGTCCTTGGTCAGGGACTTGCCCAGCCCCTCCACTGGGTCCCGCAAGGTGTTCCAGAAATGTGGAATGGGATGCTCTGGGCCTGGGGAAGCCATCTCCCCATCTCCGCAACATGGGTGTGCAGTGACACCTGAGGTCGGAATGTCACAGGCGTGAACAGGACAGGGCTCACAGCACCCCAGGCAGAGGGAGGCAGGTGGGCCTGGAGCAGTGGGCCCTTCCCACCATGCTCTGGATAGAAGCAGGCACACACCAGGAGGAAGAGCATAGCGGACGAGCAGGGGTACACGGGAGAGATGAATGCTGGGTCAGAGTGCGCCAAGGCCCAAACAGGAACAAGCAGCAGGGGGATTCCTGGTTCTGCCGAGATGAGCCACGCCCCGACGGGGCTCCAGGTGGAGCGGGGCAAGCTCCTCTCAGCCTAGAAAACTGAAGCCATGGCCTTGAAGATGACTGAGGCTGTGGCAGCTGCCAAGGCATATCTGTGCAGGCAGAGCCCGCGGCAGGGCCAGCGGGAGTGTGTGGGAGGCCTTCCAGCCCAGCTCGTGGGGTTCAGATTTGGGGGGGGCGGTTCAAAAGGTGGAAAACTGTCCTTTTGGGGAAGTGAATCAGTAGGGTGAGGTGGCTACGAGTGACACAGACACAGGAAGTGAGAGACGGAGACATAGCTGGGGGACCACGAGAGGCTCCAGGACCGGCTAACATGCCCTGCAGTCACTCAGGGAGCTGCATGCAACCACATAAATGGGGCCCATATTTAGTCCATCAGCTGATGGCTATTGAAGTTTTGCCAAAACCCCAGTAGGGGCCATCAGTGGACACCCCCCACTTTACAGAGGAAGTGATAGCGCACAGAGAGGCCATGCAACCTTCCCACAGTCACACAGTAAGAACGGGAGCCAGGAGGTGCTGCACCAGGCCAGGCTGGGGCTGGGGTAGCACATGGAGAGGTCTGGGTCTGGTGGCAAGGAGCTGCCACCCGAGCAGCAGCACCCGAGCTGCTGCCCCTTGCTGCTGCCCCTTGCCAGTGGACATCTGCCATGGCTGTGGGGGCAGAGGTGTGCCCCCTCCCCCAGGGCCACACCCGGCTCTCCTCCCCTGGCCTTGCTGGCCACTAGGGGAAGAAGGAACGTGGGGTCAGACGGCCCTGGAATTTCCCATCCTCTGACTTCCTGATCTTCACAGCCTCCTTTTGTTCATGCTCCTGGCGCTGGCTGGGGGTGGGGGACAGTAGGGGCTGTGCGGGGAGGCCCCCAGGCTCTGCAGGGACAAACCGCTGAGCAAGGGAGGCCACTGGCTTCCTTTCTTTCTTTCTAACTGGAGGCCAGGAAGCGAGGCGGACTCCTGGCAAAGCTTCCACAAGTCTCCATCCTGTCCCTTGTCCCCCACCTCTGCTCTCCTCCCGCCCCACCTTCCTGGGACAGGAACATTGGGCCTGTCTTTGGGCCAGGGACAGGCAGGAGAAGGGAGGGCAGGCGCGGGTAGGGGTTCTGTGACAGAGCCTGCAGCCAGCTGACCACGTCCAGACAGGCCAGCAGGCCGGACGGAGATAGGATCCACCAGCTCTGGGCAGGGGCAGGAGGGTGAGCCCGCCAGCTGGCAAGGGCGGACCAGGACACTAACTCCTCTGGCCACTTAGCAGACCTGGGGCTGGGGAGCTGGGAGGGGGCAGTGAGGCTGGCAGACTCCATAGCTCCGCCCTGGCTGCTTCCGGGGACCCCATGGGCTGGCCCGGGGGTGGAGGGGGCACATGGCTGGCCCTACCTTGGCAGTGTGTGTGCCCGCAGGCTGAGGAGGGGTCAGGTCGCTGCTCCCTCAGGAAGCCCCACGCGCAACCAGGTGCCCTACATCCTGGGCTCCTATAATTCAGCTGTGTCCTCGCGGGCGGGGCCTCTTTCCCGCTGCTGAGAAACCAACTTCAGCTGTGCTCCTCGCCCTCTCCCGGGAGAAAGCTGGGTGAGCGTTTCAGCTCAGTGCCCCTCCCCCTTCTCCATGCCTTGGTTTCCTCCTGCGAGAGAAGCAGGACCCACAGCTCGCAGGGTCTTTGGGGAGCTGCTACCACATGTGGGAACTCAGAGGGTCAGCTGCTCTGCCAGGGGCACACTGCAGGGAACAGGGCCAAGCACCCAGGCCTTCCCTCCACTTCACCACGGGCTTAGGGGCTGCCTCCCTACCCAGCACGTGCTGCCCACGGGGAGGGGGAGGGACGGCTGCCAGGAGCACAGCCCGCGCCCCTCCCAGCTGCTTTGCATGCGAGGCAGCTCCCGGCCGGTGTGCGCTCCCTCCCCTCCTCCCGAAGGGCGGGGCGTGGCGGTGGCAGGAGCCGGGAGAGCTGGAGAGAGGAAGCGGCTGCTGCTGTGTTGGCATTCGTCCTCCTGGCGCGGCAGCAGCGGCGACCCCTGGGAGACCTTGCAGCCTCCAGTGAGGACGCGTGCTGCGTGGTGGCGGTCGGGGATGAAGGGCGGTGGCAGATCCACTGGGGTCTGTAGACTCCCAGGGCCATGGCCGTGACCACACGTGCAGCCCGTCTCGGCCTGGCCCCTGCTCCACCAGGCCAGCCCTTCCGAGGCTGACTCCGCCAGTTGCTATGGAAACAATTAGGCCAGGCAAAGGGGTGGGCGCGAGTCAGGCAGCTGCCACCAGGGTAGGCACCCTTGGGGCCTAGAGCCCAGCAGGGTGGGCAGTGTGGCAGGGAGAGCCCTCTGGGACCATCTGCAGGTGCCCAGGGTCATCAGAGCTGGCAGCTCTCAGCCAGTATCTGACCACACAGGCATGGGGAGGGGAGTCACTCGGTTACCGTGGTAACTGCAACAGCCACTGTTCACTTCCTGCCTGGGGCGGGCAGGGCAGGAGGGAGAGCCTGGGCCAGGGGCACAGAATGCCTCTCAGATCTCATCAGCCCACAGAGGCAGACACAGTTACTAACCCCATTCGTAGCTAAGGATGCGGAAGACACCTGCCCAGGACACAGCAGTCAGGGCTGCACACATCAACCCCTGCAACCTGGCCCTGCAGCCTGTTTCCAGCCTTGGAACCAGCAAGATGAGGGACTAACTAGGTCGGCTCCATGTGTCCCTATACAGCGGCCATGTCCTTGGCTTGTCAGCCGGTGACAGAAGTCACATGCACATAGCAAGGATCTCTCCAATGAGAGGGACACTCGCCCAGTGCCTGCACCCAGTGTTGTTCTGGTCAGCTGAGACTTCATGGTGGTTTTTTCCTTCCCCAGATTCAGCGGGTACCACCTGCACACCACCCTGTTCCATCCACAGGAGCTGGTCAAGAGCACTGGGCATCCTTGGCAGCTCTGACAGATGCCCCTCCGCCCCGCGTCAGGCAGTGCTGTGATCAGAACAGCCACATGTGCTGGCCCATCTGTGGGGCAAAGACACAGCGGAGAAACGAGATTCATGGAAGGCCAGTGGGGAGGTGGAGAGGGCAGAGCCATGCGCCGTGGGCTCCTTGCTGGTCTCCCAGGCGCGCACAGACGATGGACCAAGGCACCGATTTCAGTTGAACACAAGTGCTCGGGGCATCTTGAATGTCAGTATGTTTTCAAGAGCTCACTGATCAGAAAGTGGGGGGACCCTGCCAAGGACAGGTGCATGTATTCCTGTGGTCAGACAGTAGAATGACGGGTCCCCCAGGATGGGGTGGGACAACCATGTCCAGCGGGAGCCTTGGGCAGAGGACAGGACCCCAGGGCTACTGGGTTTTCAGCGAAACTTGCTATCACCAACACCATGGGGCTCCCCACCAGCAGCAGCCTCTGGGACCCACAGACGGCTGCGGCCTGTGCATGGGTCAGGGACACTCCCACGGCCACCTCATGTACCTTTAGGCTCCAGGCCATTGGAGTTAAAGTGCATCCTCTTCTGACACTCGGTGCAGCTCATCAGGAACCGCGTGACCGCCTCTCTCGGGAGGAAGGCATAGGTCTCTGCGATCTGGAAGACAGGACATTTGTCAGGAGGATGGGGCAGGCCGGGGTGCTGGGCCACACTGGGTCTGGGCCACAGGCACCATGACCTGTGCTCGGATAATGCAAGGATCCGAGGGACCAGGGGCCCTTCCTCAGCGCTTGGCTGCAAGGAGTCTGTAGTTTTTGCATAAAACCCTTTGCTGTAAAACATTGACTCACAGAGGACGGAATTTGCAAGAGCAAAGTGCTTAAACACTGTCTGGTCTTTAACCCATGTCCTAGCAAGTACAATGGTCCGCACATTTTACTGCTGCTACTGAAAAATAAGCTTATAAAAACAGGCTCTGGGGTGGGGATGGATGGCTTCCTTTCTGCAGGTGGGTGAGCATAAATGCAGTGGCTCCGAGTTTACACATAGTACTGGGGTCATCCTTCGACAAGCTGCTCCCAAGAACCTCTGCAGAGGCTGGAGCCAGGGTATCCGAGGCAAGCCAAGTCACATACTGTCACGTGGCTCTGGCAAGGCAGTGCTAGGTGAAAACCCACGCCCAGGTCACTAGCCCCATCGCTGCTTCCACAAGGCCTCCCTACAAGGGAGAGAGGAGAAAAGAAGAGTGGGGACTGGGCGGCGAGTGAAGATAAAAATAGAAGCGGAGGTGGGGCAAGAGTCAGGCTGCTCTCCCTGCAGGGATTCCCGGATTTCTAGCAGGTGCTTCTGAGAACGGCACCTCCCACTCCTCTCCACTAGGGAGCAGCATCACCCAAGAGTTCTGCCGTGCGCGCCGCAGCCCGGCTAGGAAAGTTGGCGAGGGCGGAGGCGGCTGCCGGACCGCGCCTGGCCCGCCTCCTCCCCTGGATGGAGCCTGCTCCACCTGCAGGGCCTGTGGGCTGCAGTTGCAGGGTGTGGGTGAGGTGGCGGAGGCACAGGGTTCTTCTGGCGCCCTAGCCTGCCTGAGGACTCCCAGGGGCCCCTCCCGCGGTGTTCCTCTTCTTGGCGGAGCAGGCTGGCTGCTGTGGAGGAGTGATCTCCTTTACAAATTCCCTGTGTTTCTGGAGGTTAGGCACTAGGGCAAACCAACTCCCCAATCTGGCTGCAGCCGGTGGCTGGGAGGATGACAGCCAGGGGTGCAGCCAAGCTCACTGGGTGTCAGGGCTAAGGGACAGGGAATTTCCTGCTGTGGACATCCTCAGCTCAGTGGAGCTGCCTAGAAACTGGGGCTCTTGGATGCAGGAACAACCCAGCCAGCAGGAATGGCCCTGTGGGCAGAGTATATGACTAAGTCTGCTTTGGGCCCCCAGTGACCCCCACATCTCATGAGTCATATCACACACACCCCGTGTCTGGCCACCCAGGAGGCAGGGTGGAGCACAGCTCACACTGCAGGGGCAGCCTGCTCGGTTCACAGAGCTCACTCCGCCACCTGGTGCCAGGCAGAGGGACAGCTTTCCAAGGGTCCAGGGTGGGACCCTGCTCAGTGAGAGCCCTTCCTGTCGCAGGGCCAGGAGTGGAGGGGGGTGGTCAGAGGGGCAGCGCCCTAAGCTAGGGGAGGCCAGGGTACAAAGGCAGCTGGCATGGGATTGGGGCTGCCAGGCATGTGCCAGTTGAGAGTTCCATCCAGGCGGGGGTGGGAGAGGCAAAAGGCTGGAAGGTAAGAGATCCTGGGAGCTCCCACCCTGCCCCCTCCCCCCTGGAAATCTACAGCCCTGTCTGGGTCTCCTGGACCCGGAAGTAGCCTCTCCTTGTGTCCAGTGCACTGATGTCCCAGGCCACGGAACCACAAGATGCCACGGATGATGGTTTCCAGAAGGTGTGAGCGCCACAAGCTCTATTCTCCAAACAGATTGTAAGGCTCAAACCCAAAACACAAAGATGGAGGTGTTGGGGCTGAAGTGGGAGGCAGCTCCAGGACCCTGGGCTGCTGGGGCCCCAAGTGTGGGCCTGTGACCCTGCCTTTCATGTTCTTCCTGGAGGTGACAGCTGGGAGCGATGCCACGAACCAGGAGGGCAGGGACTGTGTGCACAATGAGTTGCAAGGCCCTCGTGTCCTCTGCACAACTCCCAGGGCCACAGCCAATCGAGGGGATTAGCACGCGGTGGGCCTGCAGCAGCTGCTGATAACATCTGGTCCCAGCTCCAAGTGGTCTGGGCAGAGAGAGATGGGAGGCAAAAGCACTCGCTCCAACCCATATGAGTACAGGCAGGTGTCAGAAGCCAGGAAACCCCCATCCTCTGCGAAAGTTCAGGAAGCTTTGCAGAATCACCTGGAATTTTCCTCAGACCTTGACACTGCCTACACCCCTGGGGTGGAGCCTCAAGCTGCGGGGGGGTGGGGGAGGAAAAGGGGGGAGCCCTTATGTTGTAAAAGGGGATCCCCGGCTATGCTGGCCATTCACAGACCCAACAGCTCACTGCCCGCTGCCTCCGACTTGGTGCTGGATAGCAGTTGATGCTAGAATGTCCTTTTGGCCACTGTAGAATCCTCCTCCTCTGGCATCCCCTGACTCCTAACACACTCCCTATGCCCCACAGACAGTGGGCAGCCCCAGGACTCAGTCAGCCAAATGCACGAGGGCAGATCCCAGGACTCTGGCCCAGGGTTTGGCACAACGCCCGCAGGAGCCAGGCTGGGTCTCTTTGCAGCCGGCGGCATGCGGCTTCCTAGGGGGCCCCTTCTGCAAACCCTGGTGGGGACAGGGGCGGGGCTCACATCTGCTGGGTGACACTGAAGGGCTAGGCTTGGGTCAAGGAAAGAAGGAACTGATGAAAAGAGGGGGACAAAAGCATCTAGGCCCCACCCCCACCCCAAAAAAGGAAATGGGTGGCATGAGAAGGGCGACAGATGGGGACAAGGAGGGGGAAAGGAGGAGAGGCACGAGGGGAGGAGAGAGACGCGTGGGTCCCAGGCCTCACACCCACCGCAGGAGGGCCCTGGCCTGCTCAGCTTGGCCTTGGCCCTGCTGCTGAAATTCCAGCTCTGTGCACAGCCCAGCTGGCTCTAGGCCAGTCCTGTGCCAGCTCCAGGCTAGGCGGCAGGAAGTGGGACACGTGGTGAGCGTATGGACAAGAAACCAGGAGGTGCAGAGCCGAGGGCTAATGTCCACTGGGCCCAGGAGGTCAGTGCCAACAGGAACAGTTCCACCTGTCCCTGGCATGCATGCTTACAGACCTCAAGAAGACTCTTGGCCAGGCACCAGGGTGGGGTCGGGGACCAAGGAGACTGCCTGGCTTGGCGGGCCCATGCCCACCTGCCTGGATAGCAGCTTCCTGGCTGCCCCCAGCAGAGGTGGAGGTGGCTGAGTATGCCATGCTCAGAGCCATTGGAGCTGGCATGCACATGCTGAGGGACCTCGGGAGGGCTATGTGTCACTTGGAGCCTCAATTCTCCTCATTTGGCGACAGTGGAGACAACAGCGCTGGCTTTGCACCTCCAGCCTTCCCATGTGTGAAGGTGTAGAGAAAACCAGTGCCCCAGGCTGGGCAGCGTGCAGAAGCCAGTGTGGGTTACATGCCCACACAGTGCCACCTTTTGTACTGAGCAGCGTGTGCCAAGGGGTACATGCACTGGCCTCAGTCTGGGCATCTCTCCCTTCGCCTCGAACCCTGGGGTGGAGATTTTCTCATGACCCCTGCCCATATACCTTGCTGGGCAAGGAGTGCACGAGGACTCACCACCTCCGCCAACCCCGGCTCCTTGCCTATTGAGGTCCCAGAGTGTACCCCTATCTTCCAAGAGCCGGGGAGAGCCAGATTGCCACGTTCCTCAAAAATCAGGCCATATGGGGAGACAGCAGACTGTCCAAGCACTCCACTGCCACAGGCCAGAGCGCTCGGGGAGGGGTCCCAGCAGCCTGCCGCAGGGTGCCAGCTGCTGACAGGCATGTGCCTAGGAACCCAGAGGGCAGGGCCACGTGGACACTGGCTGGCTGCCTCCCAGCGACTGTGCATCCCTGGACAGGCTGCTAGGGGATCTCTGGATCTCAGGTCCCCTAAATGTGGAACGGCCCCATGGAGCCTACGCCCCAGGACCACCACGAGGTCTGGTTGAACACGCTGGGCTTGGCTTTGCCAGCTTCATGGTGGTGGCAGGGGGCACCAGATCAATAGCTCAGAGCTGTGGCCATTTGAGCCCAGGGACACAGTCAGACATGGGGTTGGCAGGTGGGGGACAAGAGACAAGAGGGAATCGGGTGCTGGCAGTGAGCTGTGGAAGTAGGGAATGGGCTGGCTCCCACCAGGGAGCATTTCGAATTGGCCTGGCACACGACAAAATAGCAAACCATTTGCCTCCTAGAGGATTCATGGGTCTCCGCCCCTAGCCTTCCTCCCCCAGGCCACTCAGGGCAGGCCACAGGGGCCCGGAAGAGAAGTGAGAAGAGCTGGCCAGCAGGGCCTCCTCCCTGCCCTCACCCTCCTGCTTGCCCGCCCGCAACCTGCTTCTCCCTTTGTGCTGGGCCCCTGCAGAGCCCGCCCTACCCTTGCCCAGGAGCCATCTCCGGCTGCCTGCCGGTGCCCTTGCCCTGTACGCCACCCCCTCCCCACCCGGGATCCCCAAAGGCTGCTGCAGCAAGCCTCAGCTCCTGGCCCGCCCCCGCCCACCATGTGCGGAGCCTGGGGCTTCCTGCCAAGGCCCGGGGCTGCCAGCAGAGGCCGAGTTGGAGCTCTCACCGCGCGGTAGGTTTTCTTCTGCCCGGCGTGCTTGGGGGCTTTGCCTGGCTCCGCCGAGCTCTCCACGTGCATCGAGTAGATGATGTCAAAGAAATCTTCCACCACAGCGACCCGCTTCAGAGAGATGCCCTCAGGCTCCGACAGGCCATCTGCCCCCTGCGACAGGGGGACAAGCTGTGTTAGTGTCAGGGCTGACGGCTGGGGCGGCTGGGGGCGGGGGTGGAGATGGGGGAGGCCAAGGCTCAGAGGTGTGGGAGGGTAGGGACAGCTGCTTCTCCCTGACCCCCTGTTGCCTCCTCCCAGGTTGGAGTTGGGGGAAGTGGGGCTGGAGACCTGGGATGGGGGTGGGGCAAGCAGGGTGGTGGGTGATGGGGTAAGATTGGGATTGTTTTCCCAGAGTCAGGGTGCCCGCGGTTCCGAAACTTCCCAGTAGCAAAGTGCAGAGAGCCGTGGCGGCGGCGACACAAATACAAATTACAGAACCAAGCGGCTCCATGTTCACGATTTCAGACAGATTGTGCCAGACTCTGGCGGGCGGGAGTTCTCAGATCACACGCTGTGCCAAGCCCATCCGGGGAGTCTTCCGGGAGGGGCAAGTGCTAAGTAGATGCGGGCCCCATCACAGGCTTGCCAATTAGCGGTAACCTTTCACTGCAGGGCCAGGCCAGGGTCCCCAAGGGACTGGCTCCCATCACCTGGGTGACTCCAGCCTCCGCCCTGGCCTTTCTGGAAAGCTTTCCACCACTGCCCGCCCTCCCCGCGCCCACAGCTCAGCACCAGCACCCGCGCTCTTTGTGTAGGGGGATGTGCAGGATGGCGGACAAGAGGCCCTATGCAGGTGGCAGGGCTGTGGGAGTGGGGCAGTCTGTGTACCGCCAGCCGGCCCTGGCAAGGTATGTGCCAGGACTGGGATGGGGTCCTCTGTCACCAACAGCTGCTTAGGCTGGCACCCGCCCTCCGCCACGGGCAGAGAAGGGAGGGTGCAGGGAGCAGGGCAGGAGGCTGGGATGAAGCCAGAGGAACCCGAAGGGGCTTCGGGAGCTGGGGCCAAGCACCGTGGATGGAAGAGACTTGGGAGAGACAAGGCCAGCTTTGAAAATGCCACTACAGATGCAACCCCCAAACCATGGCTCCTCACTCACAGAACCCGCTCCAGAGCAACAGCCAAGGCCAGCCATCCGAGTGTGTGGGCTGAGCTTGCCGCCAGCTCTCCCTCCAGCCCTGAGCCCCACGCTCTGGGGGTGTGTGCTGGGTGGCACTGGCTCTGAGTGCCTGCTGGGCGAGGCACGGTCCAGCGTGAACACGGCACCCTCACCTGGGTGGTTGTGTGACCCGGAGCTGCTATTTTGCTGCAGGGCCTTTGTCTATAAAATGGGAGGAACTGATACACTGTTCACTCCAGTGAGAGAAGGGAATCAGCAGGATGTGCATGCCACACTGAGCACCTAGCCTGGCCACGTGGACTGCTGGACTAAGGCAGGCGGGTGCTGTGGCACAGTGGGTTACATGGCCGCTTGGGTTGTTCATATCCCACACCAGAGCACAGTCCTGGCTATTCCACTTCCAACCCAGCTTCCTGCTGCTATGCACCTGGAGCCCTGGGAGCCCAGGTGAGTTAGGTTGAGTTCTGGGCTGGTACGAGCATTTGGGAATGAACCAGTGCATGAGACATAAGCATTTAATAAAAGCAAGTGCTTTTCAGTGTTCCCAGCATGACAGAATTGGCCATGGTGATGCCCCCGGACAGCTATCAATGCCTGTCTGGGCTCTGCCAGCTGCTGCAAAGTGACAAAGCTGGCCCTGGATGTTGGAGCAGAGACCGGCTGTGCTGCCACAAGATGCTGGTTCACAGCACACCCTGGCCACAGATGGGCCTTGCTTCTCTCCAGAAGCTTCCCCAACATGCTGGGACCGGCACACAGGGCTGTCTCTTTGCCAGAGGCTCACTTGAGAGCAGAGAGGCAGGCGGGGGGATGAGGGTGGCTGGGATAGTGGGCACCAAACATGAGAACCGGTGGGTGGCACCCCCACATGGGAGGAAACCTCAACAGCCCAGTTCTGGGCCCTCTTGCCAATGGCATTCTTCCTAGGCAGGGCCCATTGCATGTGTCCATGTGTGTCTGAGTGTGTGTGTGAAGCCACTTGCTGTGCCTCCCCCCCTCCCCGTAATTATACCTTGGGCCAAATCTTCATTCTCCTTGAACTTCCCCATCAGCTGTGCATTTCTGCAACTTTTCCAGTTTTAAACTCTCTTGGGAGGCAGCAACAGGCACTTGGCAGAGTGGTTAAAATGCTTCCTGGCACCCCCATATCCTGTGTGTCCAGGGTGCCTGAGTTCGAGTCCCGGCTCTGCCTCTGATTCCAGCTGCCTGCTGATGCACACCCGGGGAGGCAGCAGGTGATAGTTAAAGTAACTGGGTCCCTGCCGCCCACGCGGAGACCAGGGTTGAGTTTCCAGCTGTCAGTTTTGTCCTGGACCCCAGTCCTGGGGGTTGCAGGCATAAGGGGAATGAATCAACAAATGGGAGAACAGTCTGTTACTTTGTCTTTCAAATACAGAAGATAGAGGCAGCCTTGTGGTTCAACAGGCTAATCCTCCACTTGCAGGCACCAGTATCCTATATGGCACCGGTTCGAGTCTTGGCTGCTCCACTTCTCCTCCAGCTCCCTGCTTAAGGCCTAGGAAAGCAGTAGAGGACGGCCCAGGTCCTTGGGACCCTGGAACTGCATGGGAGACCCAGAAGAAGCTCTTGACTCCTGGCTTCAGCTCAGCTCAGCTCTAGTCATTTCAGCCATTTGGGGAGTGAACCAGCGGAAGACTTTGTTTTTCCTCACTATAAATCTGCCTTAAAAGGGCGGGGGGGGGGGGGGGGGGGAACGGCATGATGGCTAGCAGCTCAAGTCCTTGTTTTGAACACACCAGTTCTAATCCCAGCAGCCCCACTTCCTACCCAGCTCCCTGCCTGTGGCCTGGGAAAGCAGTCGAGGATAGCCCAAAGGTTTGGGACCCTGCACCTGCGTGGAAGACCCGGAAGAGCTCCTGGCTCCTGACATACCAGCCACCGTGCTCACTTGGGGAGTTAATCACCGGACAGAAGTTCTTCTTCTCTATATCTGACTTTGCAATAAAAATAAATAAATTTAAAAAAAAAAACTAAGTAAACCTTAACAACAAAAATGAAAAAAACCAGGCAGGCCATCTTGGTAAAGTATTGAGTAGCCTCTGATTGTATCCAAATAAACAAGATAAATTTTAAATGTTGTAAACAAGGTAGATGTTAAATGTTATAAACCTTGCTTAGGAGTTATTTAAAACGTAGAATTACAGAGGATAAGAAAGAAAGAGCTCTTCCTTCTCTTGGTTTACTCAACAAATGGCCACAGTGGCTGGGATTGGGTCAGGCTGAAGCCAGGGCCCTGGAACACCACCCAGGTCTCTTGCAGGGATGGCAAGGGGCCCAGGCACACGGGCCAGCTCTGACACTTTTCCAAGCACATTAGCAGGGAGCTGAGTTGGAAAAGGAACAGCTGAGACTTGAACCAGTGCTCCCCTACGATGCTGGCAACAGGGGAGCAGCTTAACCCGACGTACCACAATATGGACCCCCAGGAGTCACTTGTCTCTCTTTCATGATGATATCCATGTTCCCCAACCCCACGTGGGTGGGAGGCTAGCTGCATGGACTCGCCAGTGCCAGACTTGGTAGTGGGCTGACCTGGAGCCACCCGGCAGGCCGAGGATCTCCATATGCGGCAAGGATGGGACGCCCGCTCCGGTAGGGTGGCTACAGCTCACCTGTGCACCTGAGCAGTGAATGGAGCTGGGTCTCTATCTTGCCATCTGGGCTGGTGGTTGTGCAGGTATGTCCGGTTTATAGTCAGTCACCTGGACACTTACAGCCCATGTCCCTTTCTGTGGGCCTGTTAAACCTGCATGATTTTCTAAAGGGTTTCTCTTTTTTAGAAAGTATAAAGGTGGGTAGATATGCCACGTTTAGATACTCTGTATCCACAGGTGTCACCGTGGGCTGACCTCCTTGATTACACAACCATTTCAGGTATTTCTGGGAGAGGAAGCAGCTGTAGTGTGGGGGAAGGGAATGAGAGAGAGGCAGAGGCAACACTCTAGTAGAGACAGGATCTTAGAGACCCGGGCCGGGTGTCTGTACCCAGTTAATCTCACAGAACTCAGCTTCCCCAGCAGACCAGGGGTCTGGGAGGTCCCAGGTGGATATTCCAGGGGCCAGGTAACAGGTGCACTGGGCCTCTGGCACACATAGGCTTGGCCAGTTAGCCTCTTTTCTGTTGAGATGGACATTCCTTCCTGTCCCTTGCAGTCTTTCAGGTTACTACCTGTCCCTGTCACACACAGCCCTCTCCCCGCAGCCATGACACTTCCGTCACAGGACAGGGAGACGTGGTCCAACTGAATTTGCAAACAGCAGACAGAGGCTGTCCCACAAACCCACGAAGAGCTTTCTCTCACAGTGTAGCTAGCTGCCCAGTGTCTGGTGTGCCTCGCCCCCGGCTGCCCACCTCCCCTCTTGGGCACCCTTGAAGCAAACATAAAGTCTTCCCCAAGGAACTCTCAGGGCAGTGGTTATCAGGAGCTACCTCGTTAAAAATTGATTGCTGTCTCTCCGGATGCTCAGATTCACATCCCACACGCCACAGGAGAGGACAGGCTCCCGTGGCACCAGGGCTTACCACAGTCCACACCAGATCTGCACCCCCCACACCTTGGCCAGCCGTGCCCCCCCCCACGCCCCACCAAGTGCACCGTGCACCGCACCTTTTGCGAAAAACAGCTGCCCGAAGCAGCCTGGGAGGCGGTCACAAAGGGCTCCAGCGGTGGTCACGTGCCCCAGGCATCTCTGCCATGCCCTGCATACACAGAGGTAATAACCTTCACGCCAACTGCTGCTGGAGAGACACGCCTGCCTGGAGAATCCAGCCCCGGCAGTACCACGAGGCACGGGCTGCTAATTAAAGGGAGTAGAAAACACCTTCCCCGTAGCCTTGGGATGCCCCTTGCCAGCCCACATCTGCCATTCACCCAAATCGGCCTTGTCTCAATGTGTTGCTCCAAGCAAGCGGGGCCTGTATGGACAAAGGAAGTGTACTCCGTTATAAGCTGGATTAAGAGGGGCCTGGAG